GGTCTGGTCTCATTCCGGTCTGGTCTCATTCCGGTCTGGTTTCATTCCGGTCTGGTCTTATTCCGGTCTGATCTCATTCCGGTCTGGTCTCATTCCGGTCTGGTCTCATTCCGGTCTGGCCTCATTCCTGTCTGGTCTCATTCCTGTCTGGTCTCATTCCGGTCCGGTCTCATTCCGGTCTGGTCTTATTCTGGTCTGTTCTCATTCCGGTCTGGTCTTATTGGGGTCTGGTCTTATTCCGGTCCGGTCTCATTCCGGTCTGGTCTCATTCCGGTCTGGTCTCATTCCGGTCTGGTCTTATTCTGGTCTGGTCTTATTCCGGTCTGGTCTCATTCCGGTCTGGTCTTATTCTGGTCTGGTCTTATTCCGGTCTGGTCTCAATCCAGAATCCGTGAAGAGCTAGAGCCGTTTTGACTGATACGAGGTCGAATACGGAATTGTCATGATGAAGTAGCGATGAAGTAGCGGCTAAACGTCGCGTACAGGCGTGTACCCTAGTGGAGCTCGTAGGCCTATGCCGAGTTTGGCCGCTCCTTCACCATGATCGTCGTAGGGGCATGCAGAACTAGAAACGTACGGAAGCAAGATAGCAACCACAACATTCTTAGGCTACCAGCTTATCTTTGAAAGGCTGCAAAAAACAACTCGTAGATCTCAAAAACAAAACATTCGACCGCCGTTTGCGGAGTCTCGCAAAACGTTTGCCAGATTCCCGAGTGCATGCACGCACAATTGTTTGCTACTCTCATTCCGGAATGACCGAACAAATACAACCTTATTCTGGTCTGGTCTCATTCTGGTTTTGGTCTTATTCCGGTTTTGGTCTCACTTCGGCTTTGGTCCTATTCTGGTCTGGTCTCATTCTCACGCTAATCTTGGAGTTCATAGGGAATGTCAGTGAGGAACGTTTAGGAACAGAACATATGTCATATTCCCATAACTCCTTTTCATATCTTGTCTGCCTATCTAGACAAACCCTTTGTCTGCGGTGTGGGTCTACCCCTGAGAATGCTGCAATGTTCAGATGTGCCTGTATATGTGGAAGCCGCATCTGCATTTCTCACACAATATCTCTTAGGGCCCGGTCCCACATGCACTTGAGAGTTGCGGATCTGCTGCAGCGGTGTCGCAACAGCGTGTATCACCATGGAAACTGCGAGTAGCGGAACTTCCGCCATGGCGGAAAGTTTAAATCCGCTACTCCAAAATTTTTGGAGCATATACTCTCCTGTGGAAGTTCCGCTCCTGCGGCACCCGGCCATAGTGAGCGATTTGTGTTGTTCGATTTAATTTTTCGGTCATGAAGTGGACACTTGGACTTGAGTCAGAGCAGCTACGGCTGCAGTTGTACACGTCATGTATGTTGAGGTCGAGACTCGTTTGGCCAAGGGATGAAGAGAGATACGGAGCGGTATAGGTGGATAGCCGAGAAGCTGATGCTGAAACCGACGGCTGCGGCGTCGGCCAAAGACCAAATCGCGGACCCGTGAGCAGCCAAGCATGGCCATCATGTAAAACCACGCAGGGGGACCACTGTGATGTAGGTCTGGCAAGAGCAATTCTAGTATCTATAGCAGGTATCGTCGATGTGCTGCTCAACAAGTTCGTACTAGTATTCAGCAACGACAATGTCGCTGCGTTCTCCATAGCCTTGTGACAACGTCTCGCCAATCGACCTCTACCCAACGGAAAATCCATTCTTTCAGATTATACAGAACAAAGACTCAAAGTCAACAATACCGAACCCACGACATGTAGCTAATGGTAATGCTTGATACTCAACTGAACAAAAACAACGATCTGTCCAACACCTAGCATCTACATCATCAGTACATCAGTGCTGCGTTGATGTGTCCACAAAGGACGAAACAGTTCTGTCCACAGACACAGTACTGTACTGAGTGACTGTACAGACTCAGTATCAGTATACAGTACGTGCACGCGTACTTCCAAGTGAAAGCATGCTTGAGTTGCAGGAGAGCTGCACTGAATTTTTTGGAAGTCAGAGAGGCGCGCTCGCTTCGGTCACCGTGCACGCGTGATCATGGGAGACCACGCAAGCATTTTGTCGCAGGAGAGGTGCGACACCACTCCCGCAAAACCTTGTCGCACCAGCGGATCCGCCACTGCATGTGGGACCGGGCCCTTATGGTATTCTGTCTTAACTCTCCTTCCCGTCGAGAATGGAATTGTTCCTGTTGCACACTCGGTAGAGCATGCTTGTCTTAATCTCATGGTCGTGGATCTGAGGACCATGTTGTCGTTGCTCTTGTACAACTGCTTCTTTCGCTGCTCTCCGACTCACACTCCAAGCAGCAGTTGTGACTGTTAGGAGACTTCAGAAAGAGAGCTAAGATGACGAAGGAATGAAATGTACAAAGTGCCCTGGGGTGCATTGCTAGACATTGTGTGTGCTCTTGCGTGTGTGTGTGCGTGTGTGCGTGTGTGTGTGTGTGTGTGTGTGTGCACGCACGCACGTGCGCATGTGTGTGCGTGTGTATGTGTGTGTGTATGGGTGTGTTCGTGCATGTGTGTATGTGTGTGCGTCCTGTGATCGCAGGTTCCATATTTTCCTCTACTAAATTCATTCCTCTAGGTTGAGTACTTCTTCAAGATTCTCCGGTAACTACGGAAACAGACAAGACTTCAGTGAAGGTTACAGTGCATCCTGAGTAATCGGCGTCACAATGCATTTTCGTTGATGTGTCTTCTGTAACCGCTGGAATGAACATTCAGCCACCGTTGCAGCAATGTGTTGAGAGATGCAAAGGCGAGGTTTGATGAGCTGATTTCGATGTGATATTAATCCTGAAACATAATGCAATGCCATAGTAAATGACTGTCGTTGAATTCATTCCTTTTCGCTTTCATTATAAGAACGGAATTTATCTGTCTGTTTGAACCACACATATACTATGTATGCGTGGTGTCTGCGGGCTCTGTGATGTCATGATGTTATGGTGTCATGATGTCATGTTTTGATGTCATGATGTCATGATGTTATGATGTCATGATGTTATGGTGTCATGATGTTATGATGTCATGATGTCATGATGTTACGGTGCCATGATGTCATAATGTTATGATGTTATGATACCATGATGTCATGATGTTATGATGTCATGATGTTACGGTGTCATGATGTCATGATAGATCATCTTTGTCTTATGTCAGTACAAAATGGCAATCATGTGCAGGCTCTGTGCATTCGTTGTGAGTTATCTGATCCAGCTGCAGGGTGTGCATTTGTGTTTATTCATTACAGTGTTACACACTGCATGTATAGTATGTATGCTGCAGTTGATAGTTTTGTATTGATAGTACACATTATCATGTATGGCATGTATGCTGCAGTTGATAGTTTTGTATTGATAGTACACATTATCATGCATAGCATGTATGCTGCAGTTGATAGTTTTGTATTGATAGTACACATTATCATGTATGGTATGTATGCTGCAGTTGATAGTTTTGTATTGATAGTACACATTATCATGTATGGTATGTATGCTGCAGTTGATAGTTTTGTATTGATAGTACACATTATCATGTATAGCATGTATGCTGCAGTTGATAGTTTTGTATTGATAGTACACATTATCATGTATGGCATGTATGCTGCAGTTGATAGTTTTGTATTGATAGTACACATTATCATGTATGGCATGTATGCTGCAGTTGATAGTTTTGTATTGATAGTACACATTATCATGTATGGCATGTATGCTGCAGTTGATAGTTTTGTATTGATAGTACACATTATCATGTATAGCATGTATGCTGCAGTTGATAGTTTTGTATTGATAGTACACATTATCATGCATAGCATGTATGCTGCAGTTGATAGTTTTGTATTGATAGTACACATTATCATGCATAGCATGTATGCTGCAGTTGATAGTTTTGTATTGATAGTACACACTGCAGGTATAGCATGTATGCTGCAGTTGATAGTTTTGTATTGATAGTACACATTATCATGTATAGCTTGTATGCTGCAGTTGATAGTTTTGTATTGATAGTACACATTATCATGCATAGCATGTATGCTGCAGTTGATAGTTTTGTATTGATAGTACACATTATCATGTAAAGCATGTATGCTGCAGTTGATAGTTTTGTATTGATAGTACACATTATCATGCATAGCATGTATGCTGCAGTTGATAGTTTTGTATTGATAGTACACATTATCATGTAAAGCATGTATGCTGCAGTTGATAGTTTTGTATTGATAGTACACATTATCATGACATCGTATAGTTCTCATGCTATCTACAATGTAGCTAGTAGTAATAGGCTACATGAGTGTAGCTAGTAGAATTTGAGTATTTCACTCCTGCTCTTGTAGCAGTTGAGCACTCTCGTGTGGGGTAGTGCATTTGCTGTTTGCATTATCAGGAGCTCACTGACTTGTCAGTTTGAGCACTCTGGCAAGGTACACCCGGGTCTCTGGCTTTGGAAAATATATTTTTCATTGCTGTCAGGTTCAGCCTCATTTTCTCTGTGCTGCACTGATGAGTCGACAACTTGAAGAACGAAACAGTTCTGTCCGCAGCTTGAGTACTGTAGAATATATTATTTTACTAGGGAACTCCCAACAGGCGTTGCCTGTTTACTGGGAACCCTGGCAACGACTTGGTGCTTGTGACAAACGCAGAGATGGGCTTAGCTAGACTCCTAAGTCCTATTGTGTACGTAGCTACCCGGATTTCACTTGTATCAAGTGAAGATTGCTCTTAGCCAGTATTGCTACGTAGCTATGATGGTCACGGGTTGACTGGTTCTTAGCCAGTATTGCTACATAGCTATGATGGTCACGGGTTGACTGGTTCTTAGCCAGTATTGCTACATAGCTATGATGGTCACGGGGTGACTGGTTCTTAGCCAGTATTGCTACATAGCTATGATGGTCACGGGTTGACTGGTTCTTAGCCAGTATTGCTACATAGCTATGATGGTCACGGGTTGACTGGTTCTTAGCCAGTATTGCTACATAGCTATGATGGTCACGGGTTGACTGGTTCTTAGCCAGTATTGCTACATAGCTATGATGGTCACGGGTTGACTGGTTCTTAGCCAGTATTGCTACATAGCTATGATGGTCACGGGTTGACTGGTTCTTAGCCAGTATTGCTACATAGCTATGATGGTCACGGGTTGACTGGTTCTTAGCCAGTATTGGTACATAGCTATGATGGTCACGGGTTGACTGCTTCTTTCTTACATGCAGATGTACATGTATATAAAAAAACTTACCATCTCCAAAGCAGCAGCAGAGATATGGAGTGGGTGAAATAATACCAAGCTACAAAGGAGAGAGTGACAACAGCCATGCCAGGGACAAAGAATTGGGCGTCATGAATATTTGCGCCAGGCCTCGTTACATGGCCCCTGCACCTCATACACACATACACACGCGTGCACACAAACACACACGCACGCTCGCGCGCACACACACACACACTGTTCATTGCTCTCGAACGGTGGCGCTACTTCATTGATCAGGTCGATCTGATGCCCCTACAGGGCCCTACTCTAGCCTAGGCTAGCCGTGTCAGAACTGTACGTGCGCGTGCGTTACTTGTCAGTCAGGGCGAGATACGTGTAGTGCAGGGGATTCAAGGGATTTCCCCGTGTCCGCACCCGCAAGGACCAGTACTGTACATTTACCTGCTACTGTGCTAGTGCTACATGTAGTACACGTACCGTGAAAGTAATCGTATTGTATGTCTGCGCTAGGATCGAAATACGAGAGTCGATAGAAACTACTTGCCGAGACCACAAGTTTCGATTCCTTATAGAGCATTTTCGATAGAATTGTGTCCGTATCAGTGAAAGTCGATGCGTTCCTGGAAATGCGAACTGATTGAGTTTCATGTTCTCTTTTCTGCAGCAGAATATTTCAGTGGCTTTTTCAGAACTTCATTCTAGTGGCGACAGTTTGCCTTTGCTGTATGGCAAGAACCCGGAACACAAGTTTATTGCAGATCTACTGCAGGGCTTGTTCCTCGGGTTTATTGCAGATCTACTGCAGGGCTTGTTCCTCGGGTTCATTGCAGATCTACTGCAGGGTTTGTTCCGCTGCCACTGGCGCTGCTGCTGCTGCTGCTGTCAGTGGATGTACAGTCAGTTATGTAACTGTTGGAGAGCCAGAGAGACTAAGCTTCAAGAGAGGACATGCGATGATGGTACAGAGAACACGGATTGTCAAGTGCACCATGCAGTGAAGTGACTGCACAACACGGTAAGAAACGAAGGGTGTATGTACGTGACGCTGACAGTCACAGGCACACGTAGACTGCTCAATAATTTGGTAATGCTAGAACGAGGGAACGTTCAAAGAAAATGCTGCGTGTTTGGAGATAGCGGTTGGATTATGTACAAGATTAGTACAACTGGACAGATAATTCGCCCAGGTAGACCTACCCAGGTACCCAGGAACCCAGGAACTGTTTACCAGTCAAACTTCGTATCTGAACACGTTTTACAAGGAAACGTGAATGTTACACTGTCACATAACTGCATGACTTGAGTGCCCCTCGAACAAACATAGAGAGGGGGGGGGGGGGGGGAGGAGAGCTGGTCTTCGCAAACCGGAGCACTGAAATCAGTTTTGAAATAAAGTGATGAAAAAAAAACGGAAATAAATTGAAACAGAACATGCACTGCATCATACAAAACCTACTAGTATGCTACAGTTGCTGTGCTCACTGAAATCCGACCCAAAGTACAAAGCTGGCGGCCTGGAGCAGTTCCTATCACAGTTAACATCATTGCATCTGCACATGTACTGTATCTTTACATGTATACGTCCAGCCACATTCCTGCCACTTCCAGGCAACCAAGGCCGGTGCAGGTGTACGTCCAGCCACATTCGTGCCACTTCCAGGCAACCAAGGCCGGTGCAGGTGTACGTCCAGCCACATTCTTGCCTCTTCCAGGCAACCAAGGCTGGTGCAGGTGTACGTCCAGCCACATTCGTGCCACTTCCAGGCAACCAAGGCCGGGGCAGGTGTACGTCCAGCCACATTCATGCCACTTCCAGGCAACCAAGGCCGGTGCAGGTGTACCTCCAGCCACATTCCTGCCACTTCCAGGCAACCAAGGCCGGTGCAGGTGTACGTCCAGCCACATTCGTGCCACTTCCAGGCAACCAAGGCCGGTGCAGGTGTACGTCCAGCCACATTCTTGCCTCTTCCAGGCAACCAAGGCTGGTGCAGGTGTACGTCCAGCCACATTCGTGCCACTTCCAGGCAACCAAGGCCGGGGCAGGTGTACGTCCAGCCACATTCATGCCACTTCCAGGCAACCAAGGCCGGTGCAGGTGTACGTCCAGCCGCATTCGTGCCATCTCCATTCAACCAAGGCCGGTGCAGGTGTACGTCCAGCCGCATTCTTGCCACTTCCAGGCAAACAAGGGCGGTGCAGGTTGAGGGTGCCAGCTTAGCACTTTGGGTCAGATTTCAGTTAAGCGCAACTGTACATGTATGTAGCATACGAATACACCCGAGGTCGTGGCTTAATAATAATAATGGAGACAACACTGGACACTGTAACGCTAAATCACGTACGTATCGACCACCGGGCTGCATGTCCGCTACTAATACATGCTCGCACATGACATTGCTTGTCTGTGCCCCGCTCTCTCATGTAGGCAGGCCGTTGTAATGATGGGTTGGATTTAGTACACCGCGCAATACACAACAAGTAAAATACGGTACCAATTTGTCAAGGCTATCGGCGGAGATGGAGGGGGGAGGGGAGGGGTTCGGCCACCTGTTGGAAAAAACGAGTTTAGCAAACATTCGTGCTTCACCCAAAACAAATTGGCATGGCGATTACTACAAGAACAAGTGGAATACCAATAAACTGTCAACGATGGTTAAGGCGTGCGGTAGGTTGCGTAGATGGAAAAGCTGCAAAAACAAACTCGCACTGCAAAAGCAAACTCGAGCTGCAAAAGCAAACTCACACTGTAAAAGCAAACTAGTACTGCAAAAGCAGACTCGCGCTGTAAAAGCAAACTCGCGCTGCAACAGTGAGACAGCCTGTCACAATACAGTTTCTGTGCTCCCTACCGTGTGTCAAGCTCTGCCTTATAAGGGCATTGTGCAGCCGTTGTGGATTCGTCCAGGCCTGATACGGGGATGGCAGCAGCAGCCAGTGGCAGTGCTGCGCCCCGAGGTGGCAGCAGCAGTGGTGGCACCAGCGCTACTGGACAAGCTCCCAAGGCCGAGACGCTGTACTACTTTTGTAATGAGCCCGGGCACATCCGCCGGAACTGCCCGAAGCGGACTGCCAGCCGAGGAACAATGCAGTGTGTGTTCTGCGATAGGACCGGGCACATGAAAAAAGACTGCTTTCAGCGGAAGAAGTGGCTGGAGGCGCAGTCGGCGAACGGCGTGTCAGCAGCATCTGTGGGCGGCGCAGACAAGGTGCTCTGCCTGCAGAATCAAGCATGCGGCGGGCTACCACGCATATACACAGATGTCTCGTCTCCGGGCGGAAGTTGCTATCGAGCAACTGCTATCGTGGATACTGGTTCCACCCGCACGCTTGTTTCTCGTGCTTTGCTCGCGCACATGCCTGATGTGCAGTTGTCTCGTGCCGACAGCGAGTCAACCATCCTCGCGTTGGACGGTAAGCCCCTTGATGTACTAGGCTCGGCGCAGCTGCAGTTCCACCGCAATGATGGGCCGGTGCGCATACCCCGCACATGTGTCGATGTACTTGTCGTTCCGAATTTATCGGTGGTGGCTGCTGATGTGTTGCTAGGCAACGACCTTGTTGCACAGTGCGGTGGCGTCAGCGTGTCATATGACGACGACGGCAGTATGAGTCACGTAGTTTTCGGCGAGCAACTGCCTGCTGCTGCTGCAGCCGCTGGTCCGGTCACTTCACCTGATGCTGCTATTGCTGACACCGCGTCCAAGCTGTCGCGTCATGTTTCTGTGTCACAGGATGGTGATGACGTTGTGCTAAGTGTCGACGACGGTGAAGCTCGCTGGGTACCTAGTAAGCAGTGCTGGGTGATGTCATGGCGTTGGAAAGAGGACACTGCTCCTGTGTCTACAATTGGCAGCGGCATTACTGAGTACGGCCGGAAGCACCTCTCGCCACAGCAGGAGGAAAGGTTTACTGCAGCGGTCGATGAGTGGGTTGCCAATGGTTGGCTCATTGAGCATCACCCGGAGGTGCATGGAAAGCCAGCCTGTGTTCTGCCCCTGATGGCGGTTGAGCAAGAGCACAAGCTTTCAACTCCTGTTCGGCCCGTGTTGGACTACCGCCACCTGAACCGGCAACTTGTGTCGCACCCAGGCAATGACTCTCCTGTGTGTGCGGAATCCCTGCGATCATGGCGTAGCCGTGAAGACGAGCACGAGCTGTTAGACATCAGGAAGGCATATTTGCAAGTGCATGTTCGGGATGACTTGCTGCGTTATCAAGTCGTCGTCTGGCAAGACAAGACCTACGTAATGACCCGCATGGGTTTCGGCCTGTCTGTGGCCCCCAAGGTCATGGACATCATTGTCAAGTATGTGACCCGCGACATGCCAGAAGTCGACAATTATGTGGATGACGTGATTGTCCCCAAGCCTCTGTGTAGTGCTGTGTCTGCCCGCCTCGCTGCGTACGGCCTGCCCACGAAGCCTGCGGAGGATGTCAGTTCTGCTCGAGTGCTGGGTCTCCAGCTGTTTACCAGAGCGGATAATGAGTTACGTTGGCGCAGACGTGATGGTGTGCAGCTCAAGGTGGCTGATGAGATTACCCGACGGGAAGTATTCAGCTGGTGCGGGCGATTAACCAGCCACTATCCCGTCTGTTCCTGCTGTAGTTGCTATTACTCTAAGTGCCATTCACACGGCTGTAACATTGTTGCTATTACACTAAGTGCCATTCACACGGCTGTAGCATTGCTGCTATTACTCTAAGTATCATTCACATGGCTATAGAATTGTTCCTATTACTCGAAGTGCCATTCACACGGCTGTAGCATTGTTGCCATTACTTTAAGTGTCATTCACACGGCTGTAGCATTGTTGCTATTACTCTAAGTGCCATTCACACGGCTGTAGCATTGTTGCTATTACTCTGAGTGCCATTACCACGGCTGTAGTATTGTTGCTATTACTCTAAGTGCCATTCACACGGCTGTAACATTATTGCTATCACTCTAAGTGTCATTCACACGGCTGTAGAATTGTTGCCATTACTCTAAGTGCCATTCACACGGCTGTAACATTGTTGCTATTACTCTAAGTGCCATTCACACGGCTGAAGCATTGTTGCTATTACTCAAAGTGTCATTCACACGGCCGTAACATGGTTGCTATTACTCTTAGGGCGCGTTCGAATTGTCTTCATCAACTGTTCAAACAAATTTTAGGAAGAGGTTAGTCGAAGTGTCCCATTAGAACGGTTTCTATCATTTTAGAGTTTTTCAGTGGAATTGTCATGGCGATGATGACGTCCGATCAGATCGACCATCTCCACGTACTAGGTGACGTGGCTGTAACATTGTTGCTATTACTCTAATTGCCATTCACACGGCTGTAGCATTGTTGCTATTACTCTAAGTGCCATTCACACGGCTGTAGCATTGTTGCTATTACTCTAAGTGTCATTCACACGGCTGTAACATTGTTGCTATTACTCTAATTGCCATTCACACGGCTGTAGCATTGTTGCTATTACTCTAATTGCCATTCACACGGCTGTAGCATTGTTGCTATTACTCTAAGTGCCATTCACACGGCTGTAACATTGTTGGTTATAGCTAAGACTGGTCATGAAACACAGAGCACCACGCATCATCATTGTAACTACTTCGAAGTAAGAGTTTCATGTCCATACTCCATAGGCAATCATCAGACAACTATCAATACTCCATCTCTTCAGATCAAACAAGGGTGAGCAGCAGGATTGAAAACGTTTTGAAACAATTCTAAAATATGGATATTAGCACTAAGCACCACAAAACACGATAGAAAGAAAATAGCACCTCAGACATTGTGCACATTCTTCATTGTATCCAAAAGTGACATAAAAAACGTTATGATGTATTGCGACACTTAGCAGCGAGACATGTTGCTGAAATACAATAGATTTTCAGAGAAAGGATAAAGAGCACCCAGCCAACACAATCAATAGAATCATCCTCTGCACATCGAGAATAGGATTGTAACAATGAGAGTGATCCAAGTACAATGTATATATACAACTCAGTGCAGGAGTTTATAAGCAAATGCATGCATACACACACGCATACACAAACATGCACACACACACACACACACACACACACACACACACACACACACACACACACACACACACACACACACATACACACGCATACACAAACACATTCATACCCCACACACACACACACACATATCCCACGTACATAGATAGTCACACACACAGACACAAACGAATGCACACACACACACATACACACACACACAAATGCACACACACATACACACATATGCAAGCACACATTCAATCATGCAAGTATGATAGACAGTAATTGGCAATGCTCATCAGTTCATCATCTTAATCAGGCATGTTGGAACTGCTACAGTCGGTCAGGACTTGGCTGGATCTACTGTTGGCCTGCCCAATACATGTTAACTACTGGCAAGGTTATGCATACTCGATGTGTCACACAAAAAACTGAAATACTAAAGTAAAGCCTGACCAAACAAAACTACTAATACTGGTCCTGTTCATGTTTCACAGCAGTGAGAAACATTAGTGTTGAACAAGAAACAAGATGCTCCAGGACAACAGTTAGAACATTGTGATACAGTGTGTGTCAAAGTTACTAACATACACAGTACCACTGGGTGATACTGCAATGCCGGCCGGACCAGAAAGACAACTGCTTGAACCGAAGGTAGCCACGTGAGAGAATGTGTCAGAAGTGAACACCTAACAGGGTATGACATTGGAAACACACACACACACACAACACACACATACACACACACATACACACACCGGCATACACACATTCACACATACACACACGCCCACACAAACACCCACCACATACATACAAAGTCATATACTTCAGAAGTACACATACATTACAATAAAATAGAATATACCCATCCAGAGATGATAGAAGATCCCGAAGGGACCAACAGTTATCAAGTCACGAGCAGAATCCGGTGAGGCACACAAGAACGCGAACGCGTCAACCCCCCCCCCCCCCCCCCGCACACGTACACAAATAGACACATAAAACACGCACCATGCACCCACATGCACTCATACACACTCACACACACACACACACACACACACACACACACACACACACACACACACACACTCACACACACCGTATTTTCTAGAGTATGGGTCACACTGGAGTATAAGCAGCAACCCCAATTGTTTTCCACAAAATGCAGACATCAACCCTACTAATTTATTACTGATCATCAGAGTATAAGCTGCAACCCACATTTTTGAGTGTATTTTGAGCGTTAGAAGTACGGCTTATACATGTACTCTGGAAAATACAGTATACACACAATGAGACAGATTTTATCAGTAAACTTTCTTGCTTTTCCAGAGTCAATCTTCATGATGCCCAGGGCCAGATCTTTTTTAATTTTCTTTATTGCAGTTCAGAGACCGTATGTGTGTGAGTGTGTGTGTGAGTGTGTGTGTGTGTGTATGTGTGTGTGTGTGTGCGTGTGTGTGTGTGTGTGTGTGTGTTTGAGCGATATTTTACTTTCTTGCAGGCCTAAAAATACAAACTTTATAAACCAAAACGATACTATTGGGAATTGGCCGAGATGTTAGGGGAGCGTTATCAATCAACTCCTGGAAGAATACAGCCACATCGATTGACTGGTTCCAAGCCATCGAGAGGAAGCCGGAGTGTGCATTCGTTTGTTTTGATGTGGAATATTATCCGTCGATTTCAGAAGATCTTATTCTGCGCTCTATCGAGTTTGCTGAACACCGGTATTAGCAAACAAGACAAAGACACCATTCTGCATTCGCGAAAGTCGCTATTATTCAGTGGAGACTATATTAGGATGAAGAAGAACGGAGAGGACTATTCGACGTGACAATGGGATGTTTCGACGGTGCCGAAGTATGCGAGCTACTTGGGACGTATGCACTGACTAAGATTGCACACAAAATCAACAGCAGAGACGTCGGATTGTAGCGTGATGACGGTCTAGCAGGGCTACGAGCCGTGACAGGCAGCGAAGCAGACCAAATGCGGAAGACAGTCTGCAAGATATTCAACAACCTCGGACTACGACTACACCGTTATGAAGGTTGTGAATTTTCTGGATGTGACACTGAACCTAGCAGACGGAACATATCGCCCGTATAGAAAACCGAACGATACACCGGTCTATGTCCACAGCCAAAGGAATCACCCATTATCAATCATCAAGCAAATACCGAAAGCTATTAGCAGGCGGCTAACCGATATTTCATCCAACCAAGACGCGTTCAGAGAAGCCGCACCGCTATACAAAAGTGGCTACAGCGCACTTAGGAACAGTGGATAAACCGAAGGACTAGAGTACTTGGAAGAGAGAGACAAGAATTCAAGCAAGGAAAAGAAAAAAAAACAGGCGGCGGAATATCATCTGGTACAGCCCGCCATTGAGCAAGACAGTAGCCACAAACATCGGACAGAGATTCCTGCGACTACTCGAAATACACATCCTCGCAGGATCTAGACTGCACAAGATCTTCAACCGGAATACAGTTAAAGTAAGCTATAGTTGTATGCCGAAAATGTCTGGAATGGTCAAGTCACACAACAACTCAGTTAAACGGAAGAGTGGAAACAACGACAGACAGCCCAAGGAAAGACGATGCAACTGCAGAGACAAAACACAGTAGCCAACGGAAGGCAACTGACAAATCAGCTCTATTGTGTATAAGGTAACCGTCCAAGTAACCGGAGAGTACAGACAGAAGGAGCAGATCGGTCTTACGGAGCCAGAATTCAAGAAGAGACACAGCAACCATCCACCATCATTCAGACTGGAGAGACATGAGAAGAGCACAGAACTATCAAAGTGTGTCTGGAACCTGAAGCGTCAAAACAGCGAGTACAGTCTTGGTTGGTCAGTTATCGCCCAGACTCCAGGTTACAGTAACATAACCAAGCGCTGTCCTCTGTGCTTAAGAGAGAACCTAGAGATCCTTCAGGTCGACAAGCGTGTCAACATCAACAAAAGATCGGAGCTAGTTAGCAAGTGCAGGTATGAAAATAAGTACTACCTCTCAAAATTCTCACCATCAGCCGTCACAAAACCTTTTCACTACCCACAATCGCAGGTGAGGTGCTGCTCATAATTACCCCATTGTTCTTCTTCTCGCCTCCCTCAGAAGAACATGTGGTTGCATGAGCCTAGGCCTAAAGCGTATTCTTTGTTTGCCCCTATTTTGCACCCCATCAACCAACTATCAGCCCAGATCAACCATTCGCGCTATGTTCCAAGCTTGCAGCCTATATCAATCTTATCTCCTGGAAATTGTAGTCAAGTTGCATTCTGATGATCGGTTAAAACCGTGAAACTCAGAGTTACAGCAGAAACGCTTTTGATTCCTCTCCAGTGTGTGTAAACCAAAGTATACGGTTTAGCCTCTGTTTTCTGTGCTGCGCTGGCAAGTCCAAAAGCTGTGTTTTTTGTTTTTTTTGTTTGTTTATTTAGAGTCGAAGAACAAACAGGCAAATTTGCCTAATTACATGATATCGACTAAAAAGGAGAATAAATTATAAAAGGCCAATGAAGGCAATGACACTGAGTAGAGTGGGTAGTAAAGTATTACTTTGCAAAAAGCCAGTTAGGCCAGTAAAGGAAATAATAATAATACAGCGGGCAGTGGCATTACTGAAAAGCAGCTTGTGCTGGGAGGGATCGCATGAATCGGTGGTACTGTGGGATTTTCCTGATGTCGGGCTGGAGCCTGTTCCACAGTGATACACATTGGAATGAGGCAGAATGTGTGCCAGCGGATGTCTTAGTGACTGGAAATTTAAGTGCTCGATTTCCCTGACTACGTGTAGCACGGCCGGCATTAAGAGGACTGAACATATCGGTAAGCAATGTGCTGCATTTACCCTGAAGGCAGCGCCAAGTGTAGCCAAGCAGCTTGTGGCAGTACATAACTTCTAGCGAGTGCAATCGTAATTTGCAATACAGCGGCGCAGATGGTGATGCATATGGAGCGTTGTAAACACAGCGGACTGCGCGCTTGAGTAGTCGCTCTAGGCGCTCGAGCTGATGTGAGGTGAGGCCAGCAGAGAAACAGTTGCTAGCATACAGGAAGTCAGGAAGGATCAGGGACTTCAGGTATGTGATGCGGCACGGGAGGGGCATGCAGCGCCTGTTTCTAAACAGGACAGCTATTTTACAGGCAGCTCGCTTGGCGATCTGGTTGACCATCGTGGTCCACTTTAGATCTTGGTCCATGTGGACACCAAGATACTTTGCGGATTCTACTTGTGCCAGTTGAACTCCAGAGCACATAACGCTGACACGAGGATTCACAGAACGATGGGCAGGGATGAACAAAATCTGGGTTTTACTCTCGTTTAGTACCAGGTTCCTGCTGGCAAGCCATCTGGCCAGGTGTGTAACTGCAGAAGACATACTGCGTTCCAGCTGATGTTTGTCCCTGCTACTAATATAGAGCATGATGTCATCTGCGAACTGAACTGTCCGCACACCATACGGTTGCACTTCAGCTGCCACACCACGGACATAGAGGACAAACAGCAGAGGACCAAGTACGGAACCCTGGGGCACACCACTGCTGGGCTGGAATACCTTGCTGTGCTGGTTCCCAATGACAACTCTTTGCTGCCGGTCACTTAAGTAGTCTGCCAGCCAATTCAGCGCACTTCCACCAACACCAACACTGAAGAGGTCGCGGATGAGGGTGCCATGTTGAACCTTGTCGAATGCCTTCGACATGTCAACAAAGGCGGCGCAAGTTGAGAGTCCGGAGTCTTTGGCATTGGCAAAGGCCTCCGATGCCATCACAACAGCATCCTCTGTTGAGTGCTGTTTCCGGAATCCGAACTGGCAATCTGGGTAGAGGCTGTGGGTGGTCAAGAATTCAGTGAGTTGCGAATGTACGATGCGCTCAAGGATCTTTGAGATAATCGGCAACAGAGAAACAGGCCTGAAATTGGTGGCCTTAGTAGGGTTGCCGCTCTTGTACACAGGGGTGATATTTGCAAGTTTCATGGATAGTGGAAATCTCCCTTCGGAAAGTGACTTGTTGAAGATGAGAGTTACTGATGGAGCTAAGAGGTCAGAGCATGCTGCTAGTACAAGAGCAGGTACGCCATCACTGCCCGTTGACTTTGTCGTATCTACACTGCTGAGCAACTTGCGTACACATGCGATGGATACTGTCTTGAAACAGCAGAGATCAGTACTTGCATGCGGACCAGAGGGGATGGACAGCACCTTTGGGCGAGCCGCATCGGTGACGATGTCCGCAAACACTTGTCCGATTTCATCCGGGGGGCATTGAGGAGCAGTGTGGGTCCGTGTTCTGCCTGATACCTGGTTAATCACTCTCCATGTTTGTCTTGGCTGACCTTCCGCATTGGCAAACTGATCCTGATAGTAGCAGGCCTTGAGTCGTCGGTTAAGCTGGTTCACATCACGTCTGGTCTGGCGGAAAGCTTCATGGTCCACAGGGTTGCAGGTGCGTAGCCATTTGCGGTGGGCCCGGTTTCGACTAGATATTGTGGCCAGCAGGTTTGCATCCATCCAAGGAACATGTTTGCGTGTTTTGGTGCGGCGGGTCCTCAAAGGAGCATGTTTGTCTAGGATATCCAGGAACTTCTGCAGCCATCGAGTCCACATCTCATCACACGATCCATCCAAGGAGCACAAGTTTGCAGCCACGAGGTCATTGCGAAACAT